TAGGATCTGAAAAACGCGTTTCACAACTTGTCCCTTATTTAGTTTTAGGCGTCATTCAAGATGGCGGCCCCATATAGTAAATATCGTATTCATGTTATTATCACGTGTGCGCCAGCTGACTGTGCACTCGAACTCCGCACAGTTCGATACGTGTTACTTATCATCACTGCACAAAGCAGTTTTGCATAGAACTCATTTGCATATTCGAATATGTTCGAACTACAAAACCCTGTCGGTTAACAAAGTTATGCGTAAGTCACTCGGTTATTTCAATCAATTTATTAAAACGTTTCAAGAACATTTTCAGTTAATTAGATTAAAATATACATAACTTGCGTTAGAAAAGTACAATCCTTTCCTAGATGCCAAAACACTAAGTTGTACAATAAATGACTAACTTATAAACTTACTAGAACATTTGTGTTCGAAATATTGAACCCGTTCAAGCCAGAAATAGTATTGAAATATTCACCAGAATACAAGATAAACGGAAATGTTAGGAAACCCCTTTCAGTGAAATTAGTCTTTAATGTTTCTTTCACAACTACTAGTATATACCTTAACAGAACGTTTTTTTTAGTGTATCACGTGCACCATTTCACTACAATAACATTATCTTGCAAAACATAGTACGCCGGCGATTCCCTATTCAGGAAATAAACTCATATTTGCATCGGTCTCTCATTTCCGATATAGTTCTGCACCGGAAGTCCGTCGGAACAGAATTCCATGTGGAAATAAGTATGTAACCTGAGATATTAAAGACGCAGACAAAATGAAATACTAAATTGAAAGATTTCGAGAAAACAGTGTTTTACTAGTTTGAGTTGATATGCGTGACTTCTTACAAAATGTTTTAATTTCTAATCGGTGGCACGTTGGTATCGTCAAATATAATCGTTTTAGCTCATGTGTAGTTCACGTGATTTCAACAACCGTTGACCTGAACTACCACCTGTACACGTGTCTACGTAGACAGTCTTCTCAGGATGTGCATGGTAAGCAAAACCTATATGTACGTGTGTCTTGGAGCATCAGTACTTACACTGTCAACTAGTAACAGCACGCCGCTTCTATAAAGCGCGCCCTAAGTGCCGAAACGCTTTAGTGACGTCATGATAACGTAGGTGGCATAGAAAATATTCTCGCTTAAAGCTGAGTATGTAGTCGTGCAACATTTATGATATAGAAAATCTTTAAAGAAATATGGACGGATTACCACGGATCAAACAAAACAAAATTTAACACTGCGAATGCCGTACTTTGAAACTATTAGCCTGGAAGCGCTAGAGGGCGCCACTTATATAAGGTATACTTTTTACTTTCCTTCAAATTTAAAATTATTCTCCGAATCAGTAGAAGTGTGGGATTCTCTCTAGTCATCACGCCATCTGTTTACTGATAGATATACTAGTTCATCATGGTCACGTGGTAGTTAGGGTACATATATTTTATTTGCCGAAATTATTAAGTGATCACAATTCATCTAACTATATCATTTAAGAGGTTTCGGACAATCACATTTTTGTTGTGATTACGCGTAGTCCAGATTGTAGTCAATTCGTCACATATTCGCTGTTGTTGGTACTCTGGTCTAACTTATCATGCCGTAACCAGATTACGACATATAAACAATAGAATTCTAGTGAGCTAATTCATTGGCCAATTAAGGACAGTCGTGGTACAACTAACAATGTTTAGAATAGTTAAGGTAGCGAGTGAAAATAGAACACATTTTGGGAACAAAAAAATAAATAAAATAATTAAGGTCTCGCGGTTCTCTCGTTCTCAACGAGATCTCACCGGCATTTACTTATAACGCTGGTGACATTGCCATATTTGTATAGAGGCAGCTTCGTCTAATTTATAACAATTCACTCAAAAGCCACATGGTTACGTCACTTCGGTATTTAGATAACCGGGCCAGTGCAACGCAATTTAGTTTTATACCTTCATCGTTGACCTATTCAGTTTTGTTGTTGATTTTGGATGTTGGAATAACAAAATGTGATTTATCTAAATCACAGTGCAACATTCGCTATGCGTTCCACGATTTGCCATAAACTAAAAACGCTGTTCTTGTAGCACATTTTTGTATTGATTCGACGAAGGTATAACATTCTCTAAAGCACGTGTGCGCTGGTTGCTACGTTCAATCACTGAACATGCGTATAAGTAGTTTTGAGTTTTTATCTAACGAATACTAAGATACGCTCTGCAATTGCAACGTGATAAATCATAGTCCCATTTGGTCTACAGTATTGAGTATTGAACACAAATATTAACACATTGAAAAGTTGAGTTAAAAAACGTTTATACTTTAAAACTGAATATAACTTACGGCAATCATTTTCGTCTTCATCTGACAGATCAGTACAATCGTAGTTGCCATCGCAGCGAGCCCAGTCGTCGATACATTGTTTCTGGTCGCGGCATTGGAATTGCCGAAGTCCACAATGTTTTGGCTCTTTCAGTTCTAGAGAGAAAAAAAAACATGATGTGAATATCTCAAAAAAGAACATGATCACTCAATTGTTCTATTTTTTATTTTAGTGATTTATGATGAATAAAACATAGGACGGACATCGTTTTATTGAAATACCGGTATCCGAAAATATGAAGCTTTTTATTCACTCCTATATTACACTGTTGTCATGACCTTCGCCTCTACAGAATTAATTGCTCGGCCTATCAATGTCATTGAGATATAATAATATCTACCTAAAGCGAGGGAGTCGTTACCTGCGTATGCCGCAAACGTGTCGTTATTTACAAATAAGCGTCTACCCATAAGCCTTTACGTTTCAAATTTAATTCCCGCGCGTGCGCAGGTGAGGAACACTCCGTTTGGGTCAGTTTGCGCACATATGTTCCCATAGTAATGTACTGAAGTCATGGAGATAGTCAATCAGCTATGGCACATAACTATGTGCTGTCCACGGTATTTACGTGGCGATTCACCAGATTCTTCTTGAGTGCACTGCGAAGATCATTCTGAATGAATGGATTCCAGGCTAACGTAGAACGCGCTACACTGAAAATTTGGATTTTCTGTCGAATTTATTGGCCAGGAGCTGTGATCGTTATAAACGTTTTATAAATATATATATTTATAAACAAAATGGATGTTAGAATTCAAATTGACCCATCTGGAAAGGGTATTGTGACATCAACGTTAGTTCCAGTTAATATTAATGATATTATCCAATCAGTAAGCGTTTTATTTTGAATATGTGGGCGGTAGCAGTTATGTCACGTGATGACGTGCCCGCGCATTGTGGGCGTAGACAATGTTGAACTCTTGAACCAACCACTTTTTTTTATAAATACGTTTGTAAGCGAAGTCCTAGCTCTGTGCCTTTCACTATATTGTTGGCCAGACCCTAGCTAGTTGACGGTGTTTCTAAATTTACTGGTTTTGATTTGAGCAAAGTTTTTGTTGTGAGGGTATCATCTGATATCATTTGTTCATGAGAGTCGGCTGATATATCACGGCCTATTATTATCCAACAAACTAAGATCATCAAACCATAGAGCTCATGATGATGGTATCAATCTTGTAATAACCTCTTTATCACATGACCAACTCGGCTTACAGAGAACTTTTATTCCAGATAGTTATGACTCTGGTTAAGCCACGTGAGTAATCACCATATCGGTAAAATAAACACGATTACACGATTTGTTTTCTTCCGTGTACTTTTTCAACACACATAAAATGATGACGTTTAAAGTGAATATGGTGACGTTTGCCGTAATATATCAGCAGTGATATTTCACTCTAAACACCTTACATGACGAATAAGGACGAACACAAGTATATTTTTATACTGTTTTACGATATTCTATATTGTACACCAGATCAGGTTATGATTTATCACGAACTAAATGTTTGCGTTTGCAGAACAGACAACAGTATTCATTAGATGAAAAAACCCTAAACTAGCAATACGCATGTGCAGTGATTATTATTATACGTACCAAAACAACCGCATGCGTATTAGAGATTGTCATGGTTTAATCGTTCTCGTTGCATCTTTAAAGCGCGGTGGTCGTCGCGCAGCGCGTGTTCGAATTTCATGTAAATAAACAATGTATTTTACACGCGTTGTATACGTCGCTATGAGTCCCATATCGAACAGGACGCGGCACGACGACTGCCGCCCTTTAACAATGAATGATATGCGATATGACAGAACATGGAGGTAAAAGACAGACATGAAGAGAATGACATATACATGTTTTATTTTTGGCTTTCTGTAATACAAGCTTCTAAAACTATAGTAATAAAACACCAGAGGCATCATAATGCACAACGCTTCCACTCACCACCCATAATTCCTACATAAGACGTGGGTAGTTTATCGGCGATTCTTCCAATCATAAAACTTTCAAACTTGTCTATTCCCGAGACATTTGGATGCATGAATAATTTCATAAAAGCCGGGAATATGAAATATGATTGTATTAAATAACTGTATTGTATACGATTAATCTGAAACTGGCAATGATTTATTTACTCATTGGCTCTTCTGG